AACCAGCCGTGTGTTGATGTAGCAAGAATATGCTCCTGAATCGAGGAGCGCCTCAGTCTGGACTTCCCTTACTCCCTGTTTGAGGTGAACAGGTAAATCGATCGCGTGTTTTGACGAACCAGTAGATGCGATGTATAAAAAACTTAATACTGGTACATGCGAGAGTGAGTAGATACTATTACAGTGTCTATGGGAACTCTGGCCAGACCTCAGAGAACTCACCGAAGAAAATCCTCATCATCTTCTACCTCCGTGATCCTAGCTGCTTTGACAGCTGGTTCAGGTTCTGCCTCCTTTTCCTTTTCCTTCGCGTCGTAGCTGGCGATGAAGGCACGGACTGCTTCATATCTCGCCTTGCTGTCGTCGGAGATGTCTGAGGCTGTGTTTGAAGAAATTGTCCTTGTTGCTTGGCCCCGCTTCGGCATTTCGAATTTGCCTTTGTACTTGGGGTCTGGGCATCGCTGTTTAAAAACGAAGGGGTGTTTCCCACATCGTACACACAGCTTCTTCTCCAGCCATCCTTCTTGTTCCTTGGTAAGGGTGGATACTCGATCCATGACCATTGCATTGGGGTCTTTTGGGGCCCGTGGTGCCAATGATGATGATGTTGTAACTGTTCCGCGTTGTCCTGCTTTGTCGGCTCGGAACTTGGACTCCAGTTGAAGGCACAGGTCGAGGTATTCCGGCCATGTGATGGGGTCAGAAATTTCTAGGCTGTCTTGTGTGACCATTGTCTGGTGTACGTCCTTGCTTCGGTGTTCAGCGATGTAACCGATGAGTGCAGTGTGCCCTAAGTTGGTCTTAGTGGCCCATTGACGGAACTGTTCTGCGAAGGATACCATTGTGGGATACGTCTTGCTGCAGATATCCTTCAAATGCTGCTGCGCATCCTTGTCCGGATCGAGGGTCCTGTAGTTTACTTTGAGAATGTTGACGAAGTCTTCCCATGTGCCAAGTGCCTGCCGTGCTGCTGCTCTGGTCACATATTTGGACATGTATGTGAACGCGCCACCTTCCAAGTGCAGTAAGGCCATGGTAATCTTGTGTTCATCATCGTTGATCTCGTTCCACCGCATCCATATACCGAGTTGTTGGAGCCAGTCCTCCAGACTTCCTTTGCCCGAGTAGTGTGGAGGTTCGGCAATTTTGATGCGTGGCTTGTGCAATTGGACCGTGCCGGATGTTTGACCTTGCATCGTAGTGACGCCGCTTGCTTTGAGCGAAGCTAGCTCGTGCCGCAGCTTAACGTTAGCTGCCTTGATTTCCATCATTTCTTTGCCCATGTCGAGCATTGCCACCTGGGTTCCTGTGAGCTCGTTGTTCAAAACTGTCATATGCACATCTTGTGCGAGGATCCTATCCTTGAGCTTCCCGATCTCCGTCTGGAGCATTCCCTCCTTGAGTCGGTGTTCGCTCTTATTGTTTTGGATCAGTGACTTGAAGCCTTTCTTGTGCTCGTACATCTTGTTTTCGAGCACATTGTAGATC